AGGGGGCATGAGGAGGGGCAGGGGGCATGAGGAGGGGCATGAGGAGGGGCAGGGGGCATGAGGAGGGGCATGGAGCTGGATTCTCTCCCAGTTTCTAAGTGAAATATGCTCTTTGCACCGGGATTCTGTCCCTTCAGCTGGTGCTGCTGAAAATGAGCTTGGTGTGAAGTGGGTTGGGAAAATCACATGATCATAAAGCTGTTTAGAGACGCTGTCCCCACGTGTCTTACCACAACGGGGGGTGGAAGGAAAGCTACTGAATGTGAGCCCGACGCAGAGCCTGTAGCTTTTAGGGAGGGATTAAATAAAAAGAAATTAAATATGTCACTTTCCATGGAAGTCCGGAGCACGATAAGCCGGGTTCCAGAAGATTCCATGAGAACAGCCCCAGTCAGAGAGGTGCTGGATAGGTGTCTGGGGGCCCGGACCTTCAGTCGTTATAATACTTAATTTCCATAATCACTGATAGCCCTGGAAGCAGCGACAGAGTTCCTGCCAAGGTCAGCCTGCCAAGGTCAGCCTGCCAAGGTCAGCCTGCTAAGGTCAGCCTGCTAAGGTCAGCCTGCCCGCATTTAATTCACTCCCCAGTGCCCTGAGGATGACACAGATGTAGGGGGCGCTCTATGCTGAAATCTGAGTTTGGAATGATGTGACAGGTGCTGGTGAACGGCGCCACATGGGGGCGGGGTCCAGTCCCCTGCACTTCCCACATTCTCTGTCGTGGCGTGTGATGATGCCAACGCACCCAAGTGCCAGGGGAGATTCCAGTTGGGAGGGACAAGAGGGGCCAACCTTACCATTAGCCAATGATATGTTCTGAATCGGTGAGTGAGAGGGGAGGAGGCACTTGGAGGGCCAATCAGCTTTCAGCTGAGGGCGGTGCCTCTGCGGCCCCACCCATGCCATCTTCCAACCTGAGAATGCTGGTCTGAGTCAGGCGGGCGTAATTCTTTATCATGAGACAAACAGATGAAAGTGAGTCCCCATTAGGGGACGGCCAGCCAGCCACACGGGCGGCGAGACACCATCAATCACCCATTTCAGAGCCGCTCGCCGCTCCCACCCAGGAAAACAGCCGATCGATGCAGACATTAGGCAATATCTTCGTGTTATTGACCTGGCCGTCCGCTAAGCAGGGAGCACGATCCGGTGGCCCCTCCACGGCTGAGTGGACTCATCAACAAACACGGCGATCGATGGCGCAGCCGGCGGCACTGACGGCAACGGAGCCCGCCCCCCCCCACCCAAGACCTCCCACCGTCCCAGGTCCCAGAAGGAAGCGGTACAAGGAGCTAGCTGGTAGCTAACAGGCCAAGACTGGCTCCCGGGGCCACAATTACCCAATCTTATGTGGTTCACTGCCCCCCAACCTTCCGGGGACCCTGGGGAAGGCCCACCGCGGCCACCAGCCGGCGGAGGCGGAGCTGTCCTTGTCCTGACACCGCCAGCCGGCGGACTGAGGGAGATGGTACCACCTCAGACTCAGCGGTCTAAGCTGAATGCCCCTCCCCCCGCGGGGGCCCCGTTTGGCAGAGAGCTGCACCGTCCTTCTGCCCTTGCCGCAGAGGGCGTGAGGAGTGACGAGCCATGCAGACTGGCGTGTCCCAGCATGCCTTGGGGTCAAATCCCCAATGGATCCCTCTGCTGTGGAGGTCCCCTAACCAAAAGATCACAGGCGATAAAATAAACCCGGGAGAAGCGCCCAACCCCAGAGAGGAAGGTACAAGGGCCTCAACACCAGAAAACTTTAACTGCATAATGATTCTCTGAGAGGATTATGGGCCCCCTTAAAGCAAACTGCTCAATTGCAAAAGGCACCTTATTCTAAAGCAGGGTTTCTCAACCCGGTCCTCGGGGACCACCAGACGGTCCACGTTTTTGCTCTCTCCCAATTCCCTGCCAATTGGGAGAGAGCAAAAACGTGGACCGTCTGGTGGTCCCCGAGGACCGGGTTCAGAAACCTTGTTCTAAAGGAATAAGAGAAAAACAGCACATCCCTGATTGCAGGGGGTCCGGAGCCCATCCCGGAGACTACAGGCGCAAGGCAGGGAACAACCCAGGGTGGGGCACCAACCCATCACAGCATACACTCACACACCAGTCACTCACGTATGCACACCTCCGCACAATTTGGTAACCCCTCACGTTTTTGGACTGTGGGGAGAAACCGGAGTATCCGGAGGAAACCCCACGATGACACGGGGAGAACATGCAAACTCCACACACATGGAACCCTGGCAGAGACTTGAACCCTGGTCCCAGAGGTGAGCGGCAACGGTGCTAGCCGCTGCACCACCCCACGAAAAGTACCAACAATTAAAAATAAAACATTAGCTGTAATGCGGCACGGGGGACTGGTCAAGTACACGGTGACTCGACCTGCTCCGACAAACCAGCAGATGGTGTAATGGTTAGGGAGCTACAGCAGAAGCGAGGGGGACATTAGCAGGGGGTAGATCAGGTCTCCTGATGTGCAGAAAAACATGAACACTTCCCCATCCACGCTCCACGGCGCCTTTCCCCACAGCGACGGCTCTCGCCGTGAAATTCCGGAGCACTGAGCTGCATAAAACACAATCTGTATTTTTCCACATTCCTCTCATGAGCTATCGGGGGGCATCTGGCCTCCGGAGGAAATTACAGCCATGGGTTTCTAGGAAACGTCCGGTGCTGTCAGGCTCCGCAAGCAAGTGCTGATCAGATTCACACATGGTCGAGCAGGGGACACGGGACGGGGGACACGGGAGGGGGACACGGGAGGGGCACACGGGAGGGGAACGCAGGGGATGCCGAGCCACTTCCGTCTGTTCTGCGGCCTCCGTGTCACTGAGCCGGAAGAAAACGATTCTAGATGAAACGTGCGGAGCTACCATCTCACCTCTGCCGGATCAGTCTCAGCTGGTTCTGGTCCAGCTAACGAGAGCTGGCAGGGATAACTGTGGCTAGCTGGGACACAAAGGGGAGCCCACGCCAATGTCTTCATTGCCGGGTTTAAGTACCATGCAGGGTGACTGTCTGCATGGAGGTCAAACACCGACACCAGCTGCTGAATGTCCGTAAGGACGCGCTACTGGCGAGACGTGTGACACGGGGCAGGTGTTGGTGTACGGCAGGTGGGTGTTGGTGTACGGCAGGTGTGCGATCATACACGCACTGTGCCCGGCAGGTGTGCGATCATACACGCACTGTG